CTTCCCCCAGGTTTCAGCAACCCCAGTGGCTCCTGTGCATCCGACAGCGGGAGTGTGCTATACTCATTTTTCTGCTTTCTGTTGAGCTCCCTTCCACTCCTCTTTGCACCAAGAATGTTCTACATCAAGCCCCCCCATGTCTTGCCCTAGCAGTTCACTCATAGGAGACATTCCCAGGGTATATTTAAAAAAATACGTGACTGACCAGGACATCCACCAACACTCACACTCAACCTCTTGAGTATGCGCCAACCACTGTTTTTCTGGCTGGCATAAATGACCTGTCCTGCTCTGTAAGTCAGTGACTGACTGTGATTGGATTTGTTGCTTCCCAAGACCTCAAGCTGCCTCTGCCCCGGAGTAGGCAGAGCTTGCATTTGCCAGACCTCCTTTCTTGCGTATCTGGTGCTCTGGCTTTGCTCTCTGATATCAGCAAACATGACGATTACAGGAACAGGAACAGACAGACGGGAGCCCTGGCCTTCCAGGAGGTAGGACGAGACTCTGGAGGCCCTGACAGCTCAGGGTCTATCACAACTGTTTAGAAGGAAAAAAATGAAAGTTCTAGGGAGTGATTTAATTATGTGGATTGCTATGACTTGCTGTGCTATTGATTCCGTATATTCAAGGAGTCTTTAAAGTGATTATCCATGGAGTGGGCAACCACTGCCACACATTGATTTCTGTGAATTTGATGGTATCTGGAGGGGAGCCAGTCCTGTTGGATAGAAGACATTTGGAAGAGGAGTGGCGAACCCTTGCTAAGGAGGCTGTGAGGATGTCGAGGACAGAGCCAGCAGCAAGAGGAATGGCTCAAGATGGAGGCTGAACACCAGCTGACTCCGCTTGTGTCACCTCCCCTTCAGCTGCAAACCCAGTCCCTCCTCATACTGGATATTCAGTCCTTCCTACCTGTCCCAACCCGAGGATTCCGATGCTGGAATAGGAGGACACCAGGGTGTTTTAATCTAATGTCTTAGTCCTAATGCCATTAATATTTGAGTTGTATTTCACAACAGAAGGAATACGCACATTACCAAAAGTGCTAATATAGTAAACGAGTATTTCTGATAGGTGGAGTATTATTTATAATTCTTCACAATTCACTTTTATTTTCAGACATATATTGATATAGCTAAGATGTATTTCAAAAAGGACTGTGTGCTGTGATTCAGTGTCCTCACTTCTAGGAATATACCCTAAGAAAGTAACTTAAAATACAGAAAATACATTTATGTATAAAATGGTGTGTAACAAATCATAGTAGTAAATGAGCTGGGCTTTTTAAAATGAAGTACATATGTAGCACTAAGGAAAGATAGGATGAAATGCTCTCGTTCACATTAACTATTACACGGGCTTTCAGAATGTTCGCAGAAATGTCTAATGATTTGGGAGTGGGGATTTAACATCTGTTGTGTAAAGAATATTGGAGTCAGGAAGTTTATTTGTAATACAGTGATTTTGAGTTTTATCTGAAGGCACAAAGAGACAGAGACAGACTTCTTTTCATTGATTCACACCCCAGACGCCTGCAGCAGCCAGGGCTGGAAGCAGCCAAAGCCAGGAGCAAGGTACTCGGTCTGTGTCTCCTGGCTGGTGGAAGGGACCCAGCGACCTGGCTGCTTCCCAGAGCACACATGAGCAGGAAGCCAGAGGAGCGCCAAGCGTGGAGCCTGGGTACTCTGGTCTGGGATATGGGCAACTGCTAGGCTGGGTGCCTGCCCTTAACACTATTTATGTTTCTGTTTTTACTAGAGTGTTAATTCTATAAAACATATAGTAGTTAGTAGTTAATTTTGGACTACAGTAGCCTGGTGATGTGTTTTACCTATATATAAAATGTTATATATACATATATATATATATATATATATATATATATATATATATATATATATATATTTTATATATATATAAAATATAAATATAAATAATTTTATAAATAAATATATATATTTTATATATATATAAAATATAAATATAAATATAAATAATATATATATATAAAATATATATATAAAATATAAAATATATATATATATATATTTTAAACATTTATTCATTGTTATTGAAAAGTCAGATATACAGAGAGGAGAAGATACCAAAAGGAAAATCTTCCATCTGCTGATTCATTCTGCAAATGGCCACAATGGCCAAAGCTGAGCCTATCTGAAATGCGGAGCCTGGAGCTTCTTCCAGGTTTCCCACGCAGGTGCAGCGTCCCAAAGTTTTGGGCCATCCTTGACTGCTTTCCCAGACCACAAACAGGGAGCTAGATGGGAAGGGGGGCTTCTGGGATTAGGACCAGCACCCATACGGGATCCTGACACATGCAAAGTGAGAATTTTAGCTGCTAGGCCACTGTGCTGGGCCTTTTTTTTTTTTCTTATAGTTTTACTTTTCTGTTTTGTCTGAGTTTTTCTTAGTGAACATGTGTATTATACTTACACACTTACATACACACACACACGCAGACACACTGACAAACACATCAGAAGGAGCTTTGTACCCACCGAGGGAGTTGGAATTTTGATCAAACTCTGTAGAGAACAATTGGTTAGTCAGTGAACTTAAATTTTTATAGTCATCTGATTTTCTCTCTAAAGTCAAACCTACCTGCTTATACAAATATTGGGAAAATATTTAGAAGAATTTAGCCTACTATGTGAAAGTGCCTGCAGAGGCATGCAGCAAACAGGATCCGAAGGGTCAGAGGTCAAATATTCCTGCATGTCAGAAGCTGACCCTCTTGTGTGCATATCAACCTGCCTTCCTCCTCCCCTTTACCGGGTCTGATGTGGAGAAGGTCCATGCTCAGAGACCTTGGTCTAATTTGATTCATTTACTTTTGAGAGGTTGGTCTTTAAATCCCATGTGGGTTTTGGCTGATTGCTTGCCTTCTCCCACAGTCACAGGGCAGCTGCAGCACTGTTCTGAGTGCACAGCAGGCCCCGCAGCCCCACAGGGCTGACATTCCATGGAAACACTCTCCCGCCATGGGCAGCAGCCCTATAGCACCAGGACCCTGAAATTTACACAGATCCTTGCTCTATCTAACCAGTTTCCCTTCTCCTCCACCAAACTTAGTGATTTGGTTGGGTTGGCTTCTTTGTATTAACCAGAAAATAATGTCAGGATCAATATTGGCAGCCTGTGAAGAAGGTGAAGCTGCCAGCCAGACAGGGAGACTTGACAGTCCTAGCCCCAATCAGACTCTGCAGGCCTTAAAATAATAAGCATTTTACACTTTACTTCCTCAATAGAAGTCCACTGACTCTCCTATTATGGGAAATGATGATCTAATCAATAGTGCATATTACTAATATGATGCTGCAATGTGCCAAGTTTGAATGGGAGCAGTAGGTTCACAGCAGGGCCATTAGTCTGATTGGCTAAGTTCTTTAAGGGATCATCCGTCATGTATCTATGGAGATTTAATCAAAGCTGAGGCTCCTCTCCACCCCTGAAACGAACAAATACAAAGAATGGAAGTAATTTTTTTAAGAAAAGAGATTACATTAGTGTATTTATCCCACGATTGGTCCGATCTATGCTTCAGTAAACACTCCCAAGTCTCAGGATTGCAGCAACCGAGGTCTGTGCCTCATTCACAGGAGTCTGATTTGGACCAGGACCGGGACAGGGAGTGGGATTCAGATATCTGTTCTCCAGGCATGCAGGGGCCACACCACTTCCAGCCTCTGCTCTTCTACCCTCTTGGAGTCTTCTGCTACTTGCTGTATGCATACAAGACAGAGAAAAGTGGACAGAGAAAGCACTCCTTTTTGTAAATATTTTTAGTCACTTTTTAATTTATTTGAAATGTAGAAGGAGAGATGTCCCACGCACTATTCCACTTTCCCAAAATGCCTTCAGCAGCCAGGGCTGAGCTAGGCAGAAGTGTGCAGCCAGTATCTAAATCCAGGTTTCCTGTGGCAGCTACTACCTACTGCCTCCCAGGCTGCGAATTAGTAGGAAGCTAGTGTGGGAGTGCAGCTGGGCTGGAACCCAGACACTGTTCAGTATGAGATGCAGGCAACTAAGCAGAGCCACCCTAACTGCTACACTCTCCTTCTGTTGCCAGAAGCAACTCGTCCACACATTCAGGAACCAGGGAATTAGTCTTCTCCCACAAGATGCTTAAATACTGGTGAGGATGAGCAGCTTTGGCCCCAGGTAGCAGGTGCAGCATTTCACATTTCAGTTGAGTAGAAGTTTGCATCCATCAGATTTCACACACCTTGTGTGGCAGCCTGGTTGGCTCCTGTGGGAGTTGCGAGGAAGAATAGTCTTTTAGTAAGGCAAGTGAGTCCCTGACATCAAACTCAGCCACATTTCTACTATAGACCACGTTGATTCTGTGTCCTTCACATGAACATGTGCATTCGTGTGTGTGTGTGTGTGTGTGTGTGTGTGTGTGTGTGTGCGTGCGCGCGCGCGCATTCTGCCACTTCATTTCCTTGAGTATTGAGCCGTTTCTCCTCTGGACTTTTGTTCCCTCTGTTACTTTTTCTTATCTTACCAGCTGGAGTCATCTAACACATTTATTGACCATCTCTTTTATATCTATGTGTCTAAATATCAGGCATATATAATTACAGAGATAGATAGATAGATTTTATTTTATTTGAAAAGTTAAGTTGCAGAGAGATAAGGGCAGGCCAAGAGTGAAAGACATCTTTCATCTGCTGTTTCACTCCCAAAATGGCCACGACAGCTAGGTCTAGGCCAGAATAAAGCCAGAAGCAAGGAGCTTTCTCTAGATCTCTAACATGGGTACAGAATTCCAAGGACTGGCACCATCCTTTGCTGCTTTAAGGCACATTAACAAAAAGCTGGATTGAAAGTGGAGCAGCCAGTACTTGAACTGGTACTCCTATGGCATGCCAGAATCACAGGTGGTGGCTTAACCCACTACACCACAATGCTCATTCTTAAGCAAGCACCTCCTAAGTGCTCAACACTGCCTTAATTCTTGAAGAAATGACTACAAAAATGTGCTCACTTGGGCAGCACAAATACTAAAATTGGAACAATAAAGAGATTAGCCTTGTCCCTGTGCAAAGATGACATGCAAATTTGTGAAGCGCTCCATGTTTTTGACAACAAAAGAATAAGTAGGTGACTTTTCTGATCTTGTGAAGTTCATAATTGAAGGAGCTAGTATTAAAGAGAAAAATTTCATTACTAATGCAATGATGGCCATGAGAAAAATAAAGTAGTGCCATACGGAAGGCTGGTGGCCTCCTCCAGTTTAGGCAAAAGCCAGGCTTTGTGAAAAGGGCACTGCATTGGCTGACTCTTCTATGTGGGCTCTGTTTCCTGTGGGAGTTGGGGTAGGTGTGCCCCAGCAATGTGCTTGTGCCATTTACATGATACCTCTGCACAGCAGTCTGCAGGCTCCTTGTGTGTACCTCTTGGTGCAACCTGTTAGACTGAGATCTTGATGCAGGCAAGTGCTGCCTCTTACTTATTCCTTATGGTGAAATAACTGTTAAGTTTCATTTAAGATGTTTCAATAAATAGTGCCTAACATGGTGCCTCCCCATAGTGGATTGCCCAATGAAAGGATCCTCTTAGCATCCTGAGCAGCTGCCTCTGCCTGTCCTCCTGGGTGGCAGCTAGATTTCAGATCATCAAATTGACTGGAAACCAGCAGGAACAGCTCCTTATGTCGGCAGCAGACAGCTTCCCCATGTCCAGCCTGACAGTGAGTCAGTCTTGCCGTGGCATCTCCTAAGGCCCGACAATGCTTTGAGTCATTTTTACTTCTTCCATATGTCACTCTGCACGCACAGCTAACCCAGAGTCTTCTTGGCACTCGAGCACATTTCCTCATGTAATTTACTGGCTAAGGCTCATGCGTAGAAGAGTTAAGATGAAATATATTCTCATACTCCCTGAGCATCTTATCAAAGGTGGAATATGGAGCCAGCTGGACTATCAATAAATACAGTGCTGACCAATTTCGAGGTTGCTTAGTGTAGAAGGTTGCCATGTACTTCACACTTTTTCTAAGGGAGGCAGTTGGAATAATGGTGCTGCTGTTATTATTAATATCTTATGGCTGAACAAAGTCCTGGGCATGTTTTATTCCTTTTAATTTTATTCCATGTAGTCCTTACAACAGCTTTGGAGATAGAGCACGCTACTACTTTCATGTCTATAAAATGAAGAACTGAGGCTTCCCGAAGGTGACCTGCTGAGGTGCCAGAGCTGCAAAGTGGGGGAGCCACATTTGGATCAAACTCCCCGACCGGAGCCCAGCTTTCACATCAGTGCTCCAAGGCAGACACTTTTCCTTGAATCTACACATGGTTCACAGTAGCATTTGTTTAGGTCAGGAATCCGCCCAACTTTGTGCCCAGTGTGTTAATGTTTCTGTTGCATTCTCACATCTGGGATCCCACAGAAGCTCCGAAATACCCACCAAATCACATGAGGTTGCAGCAAGGGGCACCTTCTGGGCCATTTCCCAGGCACACTTGTTTCTCACAGTTCTAGGGCATGGGGACCCTCCTTATACTGTTTTGTCCAACTATTGCTGGTGGGATTGCCAGTGAACATTTCCCTTAAGCTTTGCCAGGTAGAATCTCTCCACTGGGAGTAGAATTGGCACCTGGGAAGGCTAATCAGTTGATCGATGGCTTCAGACCCATGAGGAGAGAGAAGCTCAAGGTCTAAGTGACTGTTTCCCACTGTGCTCGTGGAAAAGCAGTGAGGCTCCCTCTGGGGAAAGTCAAGAACCTAGGACCCTCCTGTTTCGCCAGTGCTGCCTCAAAATCTTGTTTCCCACATGCAGTTGTTTTGTAAACAATGACACATCTATTGAATCATTTTATATTTGCGATGGTTCTGTTTTCATAACTGACATACATGTGAAGTATATATAATAATTATTATTACAACTTATAATTATAGGATTATTATTATAATTTCATGCTTTTGGCACTGTGAAGACTTGAGCCTCCATATAAAGGCTCTCTGTAAGCAACTGCTTTTTATCCAGATCCCCTTACATGGAGCCATTTCTAATATGGTGATCGTTTTTTCAGCAAACCAGAAGACTGGGTCAATAAAAGTTCATTTATGGCTTGAGCAAGAGAACTTTGCAAAAACACAGAGAACTCGCCTCTTTCTGAAAGTCATGCCTAGTCAGTCAGTCACTGTCTTTAGTGCTGTAATGTCTCTGTCTCTCTCTCATTCTCTCCCCTCCCCCAAGGATTATTTTTGGGATCCATAGGCGCCTTAAGCACAAGGTGACATGACTTCTCATTTGCTGCAACTGCAAGGCGTTAATCAGCAGCCTGACAAGACAACACATCAAGTATGTTCTTGACAACCAAGGATCTGGTGTTTTAGACAGTCCACATGTCAAATGAATGCAGGTTTTGAATCTCAATTCACAACATCCAAAAATCTCTTTTCCCATATTACAATTGCTCTGCAGTTCCATGTGTTGTGTGACTTTTTTTTTTCCTGCAAAAATGAGGCCTTGAGGAGGGAAAAGTTGTCATCATGTCTCAAGGATGTCCACAAGTGTTTTATTTGAGGATGGTGAAGCTGTTGACACCAGCCCTCCTTAGCAGTGAGCTGTGATTGACTCAGTAGCCATGCCAGGCTGTGTTCCTGACATCCTAACACCCTGCTCCTATTCTCCCAGCAGCCGGCAGTTCCTGTGTGGGGGCTGCTGCGTCTCCAAGGGCAGGAAGCCAGCAAGTCATATGCAACTCTTCTTCTGCACCCACTGCAATTAGCTACACTGTGTGAACAAACAGGTCTGCAAAGCCTTGCCTGAACATCATCCTGAACACCCTGGCCCTTCTCCATCATCACTCCATCCTGAGCAGTTGCTTTGCACACTGTTTCCGCACCCCTAGCTTCCAGTGTTCCTCATAGATACACATGTTTGAAATGAGAAGCGGCAGTAATAGTGATGATGGGGGTAGTGATTGGTGTTAGAAGTGCTTACCTGGGGAGAGGTGTTTGGCACAGCAGTTAAGTTCACATTTGGGATCCTAGCACCTATGGTGGGGTTCCTGGGTTTGGGTCCCAACCTTGCTTCTGAATCCAGCTCCCTCCCCGTACAGAGTCCGGGAGGCAGCAGGTGGTTGATGACTGGAGCATTTGTGTCCCTGCTACCATGGAAGAGACCCAGACTAAGCTCAAAACCCCTGGCTTCAACCTGGCCCAACCTCACCTGCTGTGAGCCTTACTCAAAGAAAATACAAATAAATAAAATTAAACATTAAAATCAGAAGTGCATATGATGGGACAGATGCTCCCCTTTCTAAAATTTCACTTTCGTGTTGCCATGGCTGTTAGTCCCATTTTACAGAAGAATCGCTGGGCAGTGGACACCTTGCTAAGGTTCACAGGCACTGAGGAGGACACCCTTCTCCTATTCTGAGAACCAATTCTTTCACCCAAGTCTTATAATATGCTTATTTTCTATCTCCTTCATGATTCATAAGAAAAATGAGTGGAATTGTGTTGAATTCCATTGCAGTGTGCCTCAGCATATTTCAGGCTGCTTCCCTGGGCTGAGCTGAAGGTGCTTTAAAGCCATAAAGATTAGCACAGCCTTGTTGACATCAGCCACGGGAAGAGACATGAAAAGCTATCGTTGAGTATGTTAAGCACTCATCATGTTTCTCAAATCTGGATTACCCAAAGAACATCATCAAGAAGAAAAACAAAAGTGCATTAAATTAAAGTGATTTTTTTGGAATGACACATAGAGGTTTTGTGACAAGCTACAGGCTATGTCAGGAAAGAGTCATTTTTTCTTTCTGGTTTCTTTCTAAATGATGCTGTTTGGGAATTCTTCCCAGGGTGGTTAGAGATGGATGTAGACTATCAGTTCTAATTCTGCATCTCTTTGCCAACTCTGTGATCAGCTGGCTGCATTTGCTCCCTGCCAGACAACAGAATTGAGCAGGAGCTGAAAAATTGTGCAGTCCGTCTTAGAAGCCTTCCCCCTACAGCTGAACAGCAAGGCCAGTCCCTAGCAGTGCGAGGTGCTACTTAATGAGACACAGCAGGGCTGGCTGCTTGGTGTGGTGGTTAAGTCACTGCATGGGATGCCCACCAAATCCCAAAGCCTGGTTAGAGTCTTGGGTATTCTTTTCCTGATCCAGTCACCTACTGTTGTGACCCTGGGAGACAGCCAAGTCAAGTCCTTGAGTTCCTGCCACTCACGTGGGAGACCCAGCCCTGACTGTGGCAGGCATATGGAAGAGTTAGCAAGCAAATGGATGGTATTTGCTTCTGTCACTCTGTCATTCTGCCTTTCAAACAAATGAGGGGGTGGGAACGACAAAGCACAGAAAAGGAGTGCATGGCATGGCAATACAATGTTGGAAGGGGTTTTCAGGGATGTGGGTGCCAGCAGTCTGATCCCATCTCCCACGCCCACCCAGTACATGACCCTCCTGAATGTGAAAACTGTTTCTGTGTCTGATATGGTTTCCTTCTTCCTCTAGCTCAGGCCTCCCATGTAACTGATTGCTTCCTCCTGGGTCAGCACAGCAGAGCTGTGCACCTGGCCTCAAGGAGCAGCCTCCAGACTGATGGTTGATTTGACCAATTCTTGTGCCTTTCTCTTGCTTTTCCTGACTCTTCACAGAGATTTTTTTTAATCACATTTATTTCATTGTGCCAGCTTTGTTCTAGCTAGATTCTGCGAATTAAACATCGTGTTTGCGAAACAAATGACTTTCATGCTAATTTCTCCCCTAAGGGTCTTTGGACAATGTATAAGCCAATATTTGCTTAGTTCCAAAGCACAAGAGTAATGATATTTATGCAAAACACATTAGTTTCCTTGGGTCTGTTTTTGATTTCCAAGATGCATGTTTTGTAAATCCATACCTGCAGAGTTTGTGGCAACTGTTTTTTTTGTTTGTTTGTTTGTTTGTTTGTTTTGTTTTTTTGGCTCATCAGATCCTTGCCAGGTTACAATACAGTACCAAAAGGATAAAAGAAAAAAGCACAGTTTGGGAGGGAAATGGAGTTGAAGAGTGGCAGAGACTTCCTTACAGGCATTTGTACTCTTAGAGTAGACCTGTGGAGACCATGCTACATAATGGTCATGTCCAG